TGGGGATGGTATATTTTTTAAAAATTATTTTAATTTTAACTTGTTACAGGGTACTCTTTTTTCCAACCTCATCTGTAAGAAATCCATGGGGGCTTCCTGGATAGAAAAAAAAAAAAAAAGCAAGAAAACTAAGCATAAAATCAGTTCAGCACCTTAAATCCCAGGTCCTCACCCGCCAGCCTTCCCCACCCACACACCTCCATTCCGCTTGTAACAGTGCCCACCCATTCTCCAGTGGACGCTCCTCCCAGAACTCGCTGCATCTCACACACACACACACGCACACGCACACGCACACACCCCTCCCTTCTACTCACTATACACACAGATTTTACTGTGACATCCGAAGCTGTATAGAATCTCCTGTGGATGAACTGGAATTTTTTTATGTTGTCTCTCTCTCTCTCTGCCAGTTTCAGTATTAATCATCTTCCAATGGAAAATCATTACCTTTAGAGTGCATTCAGGGTTCCTGTGTTAGGGACTTAAGAATCTGAGGCAAGGACCCCCTGGCTTAGCAGTAGGGCTCACAGGGAGCCCAGACCCCATCTGAAAGGGTCTGCGCCCTCAGTTGGGGGGAGGGAGCCGGTGGCTGTCCCAGGATTGCACCAGCATGTTCAATAGAGAAGAGGTTTTCTATATCTTCAAGCACTTATATCATAGTCTGTGTTCAAAGTGTAAACTGTACAGTAATCAGCCTTGTGTATATGAAAAACAATAAATACTATGCAAACCAATAGAAACACTTTAGCAGTATGTACAAGCACTAACAGCTCAGCTCCTGAGGACTTCTCCAGGCTGCGGGAGAAGGAGCTACAGCCTGTCTTTCAGTGAAAGAGGAAGGAAGGGAGTAGGGCTAGAGAATGTATCTGCCAGTTCATGGAAGTCAGCCACCACTCCCCGCCCCGCGCCCCACCCCAGTCTCCCAGAGCGAACTTGGTGCTCTACGTCCAGGCAGCCGGCAGGATGGGGGGGTCTAGGCTGAACAGCCTCCCTGCCCCCACTCTGACCAAGCCCCTCTGCCCCCCACCCGCCCCGCCCCCGAGAGACTGGGCCAGGGGCCACCTCTGACCACATGCCCAGCGGGAGGAGAGCCGGAGGAGGAGGAGCGAGCCGCTGACCACCAGGAGGCCGGGGCTGGCAAGGAGACCCGCCCGGGCCCGGCCGCCGGTCAGGGCAGAGAGGAACCAGCTGGCTGTTCTTCGCCTCGGTGCCATCAGGGAAGAGCCTTAAGTCACACTGGAGCCTCCGGCGGAGGGAGGCCCGAATCAGCACAATCCCGGCGCCGCCCTGCCCGGGGGCGCCCCCTAGGTCGGGAGAGGGACCGGCGGGCTCTCCTGCTCGCGCCAGAGCCTCTGTTGCGGATGTCCAGTCACTCTTCTCCCAGCCGCTCTTCTGAGTCCTCGGAACACATTCAGACCTTCCAAGTAGCACAGAAGCTCCCTCCCGTCTCAGCCCCACGGCCCGGGGCGCGTCCCCAGCCGCGCGCACCTGCCGTCGGGCGCCGCGGAGCCCCCGCCCGCGCCCCGACCGTCGGATTGGACCGGGCGGGTTTCGCTTTTGCTTTCTTAGAGGGGCGGGCTGGGGAGAGGAAGTCGGCGTTGGCGGCCTCAGTTTTCCCCGGGCTGTGCGGAGGAAGCCCAGCCCCAGCCCCAGCCCTGCCCCTGCGGGGCGCGAGCGCAGCGCCGGCGGGTCGGGGCCCTCGCCCAGGGTGCCGCTCCGGGGACGACCCGGCGAGGGTCCTCGGAAGACAGGCGCAGGGCTCGCCACCCCGCCTCGATCCTGCCCCTTCCTCTCCCCGGCCGCCGCAGCCGCCCAGCCCAGTAGCCCCTCGTAGAGCCCCGCGCGGGTCCCGCGGCTCAGCCTATGCTTTGGCACCTCGCGCTCCGTCTGGCATGGCTGCTTGGCCCGCCGGCCCCAGCCCTCGGCGGCATGGCTGCACGCTCCGGTTGCTAGTAGGAGCTGTTAGGGGAGGAGTTTGGGGTCTCCACTTGATGCCTAGAGAATGCTGCAGTCTGCACCTTAGACGCTTTTTAGAAGTTTTGGAATTACCTTAATTTTTTTAATTGTTATGAAAATGAATCTTTTCTTGAGTCTCTCCCACCTGCTCTGTTATCTATCGGGAGAGAATCCCCCACCCCCACTCTGATGTATAGCCCATTCTCCCTACACCAGCTGAACAAATGTCAAAATTAATAAAGAAATTGACTCATGTGCAGGGCTCCATCTACTTCCTGGCTCATCCTGGGGGAGTTTGAGGTGCTGGAACAGGAGGGAAGCCTGGGTCACAGCTTGAAGGAATGTGAAGGTGGGATCAGTGATCCCACCCTGGCGGTGCCCACTAACGCATCCCTGGAAACATGGGTGCCCTTTAATTAGGACTGCCCAGCAGAAAGCCCCCACCCCTGAAATGACAGTGCGAGTGTCTATCTCTCCTAATGACTACCATGAGTTGGGGGCTAGACTAAATGGGTGGAAAGGGTACCACAAACCACCAGGGTACTGGGCCAAGCCCACAGATGGCATACAGAAGGAGGACCCCTCACCCCCCACCTTAGCTCTCCCTGTGAAGGCATCTGGCCTCTCAACACCATTCAAAGCGCAAGAACTTCTGAGAAAATCACGCTGTTCCTAGCTCGCTTGGCACCCTTCTTGCAAGTGTGCATTTTCCTCACCTGTAGATGAGGGGATGCATTAAGACATTGCTAAAATCCCCTCTATCTGTCCTCTTGGGACTCCCTAACACAATGCAGTTGTCAGGCTTGTCATTAAATAAGAATCAAATCATTTGCAGCAGTTTTTTCTCCCTCAAATTCCCACCATTAGGAAGTGACAAGTCACAGATGCAGAGTCTTTGAAGCACTCCCAGCCTTCACTGAGTCTGAAGCTTCTCTCAGTTGGAAAGCCACCCAGCGCCCTTCCTCCCCAGCAACCCCATGAGGCAGCCTTGGCTGTGCAACCATATTGCTGGGAGGGCTTTTAAAAGCACAGGTTCAGAATCACAGTTGCCTGGGTGGGGTCAGGTGGCAACACTCGGAACTAAGTATTCCAAATGGCTGTGACAGGCAGCTTGGTAGTGCAGCCAACTCCAAAGGAGAAGAAACCCCCACCTCTTTTTTTTTTTTTTTTTTCCCTTTAAATCAAACTTGTAGGAAAACAAGCATCACCGGCTTTGTGAGAATTTTCTTGCATTAACCTAAATCATTTATGCTACGGAGAGCATGGCTCAGAGAGCAGACACCAGTATCTTGGGGAGAGCTGCTCTCTGTGTGAGGGTAAGTCCTCCCAGAATCCGAAACCATTGTCCTCTTTCTAGAAACCAAGGCCTACAAAGCGCACTTTTTCTCTCCCACCTGCCAGAGCCTGACCCCAGGCAGCAAGAGAGCAGGAGGCCCAAGGCCTGGTCAGGAAGGACTTTGGGAATGCCAGGCCCAAACAAAGTCTGCCTGCCAGTACAATTTTCCTGTCATTTTGCATGTTCAGACAACTGGCATCCTGGTTTCCATTAAAAAACCAAACAAATCCAAACTGCTGTCCCTTAGAGTAATAGCCCAAGCACCTGGGGAGTGGACTATGAGTCCATGTCTGTGAAAAGGGGAAGATTGTCTTGATGTTGTCTTGTACGTTGTAAAAATTCACTGGAAAAGGGGCATATGGGTGCTCTGCTGTTCAGTCTAGTTCCATCCGTCAAATGTTTACAGAGGGCCAGTCAAGCATTCCACACAGGGACCTACCACGGAATCAACGGGCATCTCTGCCACCAAAGATTTCCAACCCAGAGGCCAGGACAGATGGAACAGAACAGTTGCTCCAGTGAAGGTACAAATGGACAGAGAAGGGGAGAGGAGAGAAGGGGAGGAAGAGAAGAATAGAAAGAGAAGGGGGGGAGGAAGAGGGAGCAAGAGGAAAAGGGGAGCAGGAGGAGGAGTAAGAGAGAGAAAGAGGAAAGGGAAGAGGAGCAGGAGCAGGAAGGGATTCTGATGGAGGGGCTCACAGAAGCTTGCCCGAGTCAGAGAGGGGGAGAGCACAAATTCTCAGCCCTGCCCCCAGCCCCTGCCCAGCAAGCTCCCACCCCCAGGCTCTCAGATCAGTGACAGGTATTTGTATCCCCCACCCACCCACCCACCCAGAGCAAGCTCCCCGCTTACCCGTCCCAGCAGGGAGGAGGGAAGAAAAGCATTTCTCACACTTCACTCTCCCAGGAAGCTTGCACATGTGCACATAGCAGGGCCAGAGCAGCTCAGGACCACCACCCCTGAGCCCGCCTCTTGCCCTCAGGGGAGCAGTTGCAGGAACTGTGACTTAGCTGCTTCAGTAGCCACCAGGGTCCCTCCAGGTATCCACTTTTTCCTGCACACTGGACTTGGGGGATCAGGAGCAGGTGGACATTCTGAGGATGAACAGAGCTCCCAGAGCTCATTCTCTCTTCTCTCTCTCCCCCTTTCTCTCTCTCTCTCTCTCTCTCTCTCTCTCTCTCTCTCTCATACACACACACACACACACACACACACACACAGAAGCTGGTTTTACAGTCAATCTTTCAAAGTGCAATTTGTCTCAGAAAAGCCAATGCGAGGCCTGTGTGGTTTCCACCAATGACGATGCTGCTCACACCGCTCAGCCAGTCTGGGGCCTGTATTCTAATGGGCCCTATCTTTATCAGGGAAATGTTGCTTCTCCGAACTTAAAACTTCTCATGGAAGGTCCCCAGACTCAGAGGCAGAGGAGGGGGCTGAGCTGAGGAGTGGGGAGCCCTTCTCCAGGCTGGGGGCCAAGGAGAGGGAAGGGGAGGCCTCACCTGCAAGACACCTGACTTCCGAGTGACTGACGTGGGTGCCGGCCCTGGGTAAGGGCGGGCCCGATGCCCTAGGTGGAGGGCAGTCTGGGACTTGGCTTGTGACCCTCCAAACCTGCCATGGGATTCTAGGTCAGAGCTTGGGGTCTCCAGCTTTCGGGGCCTGATCCGGGCTCCCCACCTTTGCTCCCCTGTCCTGGGGATCATGGAGTCCAACCTGCAGGGAACCTTCCTGCTGAACAACACGCCGCTGGCTCAGTTCTCAGAGATGAAGGCCCCCGTGTGCCAGTACTCGGTGCAGAACTCCTTCTACAAGCTCAGCCCCCCAGGGCTGGGCCCCCAGCTGGCCGCCGGGACCCCCCATGGGATCACGGACATCCTGAGCAGGCCCGTGGCCACGCCGAACAGCAGCCTCCTCTCCAGCTACCCCCACGTGGCAGGCTTTGGTGGACTCGGCTCCCAAGGGGTCTACTATGGCCCCCAGGTGGGGAATTTCTCCAAGGCTGGGAACGAGTACCCCACCCGGACCCGGAACTGCTGGGCGGACACAGGCCAGGACTGGCGAGGCGGGCGGCAGTGCAGCCACAGTGAGTACAGGGCAGAGCTCACCCAACCCGGGCTGCCGGACTTTGGAGGAGAAAGCATGGGAAGGGACCCCGCAGGGTGACCCTCACATCCCCCCTCCCCACCCCACCTCCAATGTCCTTAGACACCCCTGCTCAGATCTGGTCAGCTCTCAGCCTCCCCATTCCTCCCAGCTGTGCTGGAACCCCACCCCACTCCTTACCAGCTGCCCCCTCCGCTGCCCCCCTAGGGAACCTGGGATCTCCACTCTGAAGGCAACCACATATCGCACCCAGGTTGGGTCAAGCTGGCAGCTTGTCCTCCTCCTCCCGCCAGAGCCCATGTCGCCTTTCTTTTTCCAAAGTGAGCCAATCTTCCCCAATGAGGAGAATTTGCTGATGCCCATTTATGCCCATTCGGGGACACAGAATAATCTAGGGAGCTTGTCTTCCACTGTCCTCCTCATGGTTTATGTCAGCAGTAGCAGCAAAAGCTGCCCAGCCTCCAGTGGTAGCTGCTAAGTCAAATCAGACCTGGCCAAAACTATTGGGGGAGCACTCCTCACTCCACCTGTCCCCAAGCCGCAGTTTCCAGAGAACTGCTCTGGGGTTCCCAGAGCAGGGACTGGAGAGGTAGTAAGATATGAGGCATCCTGGGGAAGCAGGGAGCGTGACAATGGCTGCGGGAGTGACCCCTATACCACCACAGCCCTACCCAGATCAGGCAGGTGCAAGAGACAGAGGGAACCTCCACTTCTGTCTGACTTGGGGCTTTCCTGATGCAGTAGGTGCTTGGGATCAGTCACGGCAACCCTGAAACACACCTGCCTTCGCAGGCACCTACAGGGTCCCAGGGGTAACACTTCCTGGCGATGCTGCTCACACCGCTCAGCCAGTCTGGGGCTTGTATTCTAATGGGCCCTATCTTGATCAGGGAAATGTTGCTTCTCCGAACTTAAAACTTCTCATGGAAGGTCCCCAGACTCAGAGGCAGAGGAGGGAAGAATTTGTCAGCCTGGGCATGACAAATTTCACAGGGTGAATACCTCATGTTTTGGAACCTATTTTACAATCGAGTTTTGGGGGATGATTTAATCTTCAAAATGTTTCTGTCAGCCCCCTAAACCTCCACCCACACATACACCCTTTCCACACCCGGCTCTTCCATCCCAAATGTACATACACGCACAGGAGAATGACTAAGAGAGTCAGTGATGGAACTAAGACAAAGGGAGAGAGGACTGAACGCCATGGTCTCCCAGGAGTTTCCTTTCCTTTTCTGTGCCTCAGTTTCCTCACCTGTACCATGAGGAGATGAGGCATGAGCCCTCAGGCTGTCCTGAAAAAGGCCGCCGTGTGGGCGCACATTCTGCCTCCCCCATCCGCCCTTCCAGCCCCTTCCTCAGCAGTGCCCCCCGCCACGTGGAAGGTCAGGCCTCGAAGCTCTGTGCCCAGACTCCCTCCAGTGTGGTTAAAACCACATGATTCCCAGGACCAGTGACAGGGGAGAGTAGCCACATGGGGCTTAAGGTATATCCTAAAGACCCGCAAAACATGATCCCAAGGGCACAGAAATGGGGAGAAATTCTGAGGCCCCTGGGGCCCTGATTGATGGTGGAAGGTGCCAAAGCTGTTTTTTGGTAAATGAGACGGAGAGGAAACTCCTGTTACCCTAAGGGGAAGGCAGGGCCAATGAGCCTTGAACTATGGTTCTGTACTCCCCTGCCCGGAAGTAGCTATAACCTGGCACAGCTGCCCCTTGGGAGCCCCTGCCCGTGTGGACATGGCAGAGGTCAAAATCACTGTTATCAGAATGACAGGAACTCTGCTCAGGAGACAGGTCTTGCGATGCCCTGGTGGCTCCTCCTCAGCAGGGAGCTCACCCCATGGGCCGGCTCCCACTGACCCCGCTGAACACACACCTCCTTCCTCCTGCCAGCCCCAGACCCCCTGAGTGACAGCATCCACAAGAAAAAGCACACCCGGCCCACCTTCACGGGTCACCAGATCTTCGCCCTGGAGAAGACCTTTGAGCAGACCAAGTACTTGGCAGGCCCTGAGAGGGCGCGACTGGCCTACTCGCTGGGAATGACTGAGTCACAGGTCAAGGTGAGTCTCTGTGGGAGAAGGTGCTGCCTGGCAGAGAGGAGCCTGCCACCAGGACAGGACACCTCATGGAGAGAAGCAGCTGTCGGCAGGCCAGGCGGCTGGGCTGGCATCTAGGCACCACCCGCCTAACCCTAGAGATTGAAAAATAACCATTACAAAAAAAAAAAAAGACAATCAATACTGAGCCCTGTTCTTTAATATTCCATTTAATCCTCCTGGCAGCCTGGAGGTGGTATTAGTACCCCTCTTACAGGTGCAATCATCTCAACTGAGCCTCTAGTTCAAGATGACCCAGCAGGTAAGAGCAGAGTTGGGTCCAAAGCCCAGGTCTATGGGCTCCAATCTCATGTTTTCCCTCCCTCCATGAGGCCGAGGCCAGAAGTTTCAAGGGCTGACAGCAGCTTCTGGGCCAGATTAGAACTGAATTCTGACTTATTCTGGAGGAACCGCCCTTAGCTTACCAAACTTTAAAGGAAAGATCACCTTCTCCTACCCATGCTCACGCAAATGAGTACACATGGGTGATGGGGTAGGAAACCCGGCAGCCGCTGCAAGAGTGAGGGGCACATGCTCTCATACCACACCAGGGAGCCTGAAATTGGTGGACGGGCTCTCACTCCTCAGGCCCACTGGGGTACTGGGGTAGCACTGCCAGTGTCTCTCCTGAGATACTGCAGGCAGGGAAACTGAGCCACACCAGCACTGCTGGCTCTGGGAGTGGTGATGGGCCGAAGGGACGCAGAGCACAAGTAGGGACCAGGTCTGCTCTTGACTCCGTGTCTCCAGCGAGCCGTGACCTCTGCAACCTCAGGGCCAGCCAGTGTTACCTCCCTGGAGACAAAGCTGCTGACAGGGAAGGAAGGAATGCCGTGGGCCATCTTACCTGTCTCTTCCTCTCTAAGCACTTTTCTGTGCCCCTACAACTCCGCCAAGCAGCAAGCAGATGCTATTTTATAATTAGGAGGAAATTTTTCATGAAGTTCAGTGAGGATGGAAAGCTTAAAAAAGAGCCCACTTTGAGCACCTACTGGCTGCCGTCCCTTGCGCCAGACCCTTCCCACCTGGGCGCATTCCAGCATCTTCCACCCATCTGCCTAGATAGCTAAGGAGTAGGAAGAACCACCCCAGGGAGAATGAGAGCTGAGCCCGAAAGTTCTGCGGCACGCCCATTTATTTTTACTTTATTGCCCTTCCTCCAGAGAGAGAAAACCCTTGTGACTAAGACAGCCTGCTGTGGGCAGCATTTTCCTATCCAAGTAAGGACGCAGCGTGCTTGCGGCCGAGTGGAGTCACCTCCCAGCAAGGGGCCGGGGTGTGCTGTGCGTGACCCCGAGTCTTTCTCATCCCAGGTGTGGTTCCAGAACCGAAGGACCAAGTGGCGCAAGAAGAGCGCGCTGGAGCCTTCCTCCTCCACGTCCCGGGCCCCGGGCGGCGCGGGCGCAGGCGGGGACCGCGCGGCCTCGGAGAACGAGGACGACGAATACAACAAGCCGCTGGACCCCGACTCGGACGATGAGAAGATCCGGCTGCTGCTCCGCAAACACCGCGCCGCCTTCTCGGTGCTCAGCCTGGGCGCGCACAGCGTCTGAGGCCGCCCGGCCGCCGCTCGCCCCGCCCGCACCGCCCCATCCGCATCGCCGCCAGGTCCCGGCTGCAGCCGCGGGGAGCCTGCCGTCCCCTCTGCTCCTCGCTGCCGGGGGGCCGGGCAGATCCTAATCTGGGGGCGCTGCGGAGGAGGAGGGAAGGTAGAGGAAAGAGGAAAGAGGGTGGGTGCTGGAGGAAGCCAGTCTAGCGAAGAGAGGGGCGCAGACCTCGCCCGGCCAAGCCCCTCTACCACCTTGCGCCTCTGCGCGCCCTGGGCTGGCCCTGCCAACTCTGCAGACTCCCAGGCGCACAGGGTGATGGAAACGACATGGAAGCTCCTGCCAGGAAACTGGCTGTGGGGTCGCAGGCTCGCCACCTTAATTTGGCTGCAGAGGGCCTTCTGCTCCAGCAAGGCCAAGGGCAAGGGACTCCCTTCTGCTCTGGGAATTGGAGATCAGGATGCGGGGCCCAGACTGCTGCTGGCCAGCTGCAGGAGCAGAGATGGCAAGGCCAGGGGCACCCCACACGCGGGCCGGAGCCAAGCGCATAACCCAGGCGGGAGGGAATCCACTTGGGGAGGGGAGGTAGGTCCCAGCACAGAGGAAACTCTCCTGATTCCCAAACTTAAGGACCTAGACAGAAGAGATCCTCCCAGCCGCCTCTCTCCACTTTGCCCTCAGGGGGAAGACAGGAAGGGAAGAGAAGCATCCACTGCCTGGGAAAGAGGGAGGCCGTAGGCAAGGTAGAGAAAAGATGCCAGAACCCTGGCTGATGCTGTACCTGTGCACCGGCCAGGCTGCCCTGGGTGCCGCTGTGTGGACATCGTGCAGAGAGAGGGGAGCATCCAGATGGGGAGGGAGGGATGGCAGGACCAGGATAGCAAGGGGACTCATTACCCCCTGCTCCTCCCACTGTGGTCCCCACATAGGAAGGGAGAGGCCCGTGGCAGGGAAGTGTTATACTGAGGGCTTGCATGGAACCCACAGCCCTTCCTTCCCTTGGACCACCCTTCCGCCTGGCCCAGGAGCCGGTGCTGCCAGGGGCCACTAGGCAACAGGGTGGTGGTCTTTGCCCCATATGATTCTGAGCTTCAAGCAGGAGGGAAGGGCTGGGGCAGGGGGAGGTGGGAGGGGACAGGCTGTGGAGGAATGCAGCCCAGCAGGGACCAAGCATTCGCTCATCTTCACTGGCTTTTAAAATATAAAGAGTGAAAATAAAAGTCCCAGAAACCTCCCCATGGCTCACGTGCTTCTGTGAAACTGGCCATGGAATCCCAGCTGTGCCAGCTGCAGGGGCCTTACTGGGGGGCAGGCTCTGCTCCCAGAGCTCTGGAAGTCAGCAAACGTGGCCTGGCATTGGTGAATATCCAAATTTCCTTGGCAGACCAGGCAGTGGCCCTGGGTGCAGGGAAACCCAGAAGAACTTTAGGGGGCCCTGGCTTCTGGGAATTCATAGCCTAGTGAGGGATATAATCTGTTTGGGCAACTACCTAGCACCAGGAAAGGAAAATGGGGAGCAAATGAAGCACCAGCATTAACTGGACACGTAACTAATCCCTCTCCCACTGAAGGCCCGGATTATCTCCTTTGACCCTGTCAGAAGCCTAGGGGTCAGGTATTCTCATTGCATGGAAGAGAAAATTGAAGCTCAGAAAGTTCTTAAACCAAGTCACAAAAGTGGGACCAGGCAACCTCAGAGCAGATGCCAAGATCCTCGTGCAGTGAGAGGCTGGGGGGTCTGACATGAACCCTCTGGGCACGCCCACGAGGCCTAGGCAGTTGTAAGCAGTCTGCCCTGATCTTGACCCAACAGATCCACCTGCCTGTCCCTCAGCTCCTGGGGCAGGAGAATCTGGCTCGTGAGGTCAGTACAGTGGAAAGTGGGTGGGACAAATATTCCATCTCCGGGCCTCTGGGAAACGGAGGCTCCAAACTTCCACAATAACCACAGTGGGCCCGGAGGACAAGGGGGAAGTGACTGGAAGATACAGGATGCTTTTAAGCTCTGACCCTCATCCCCCGTGATACCCACATGCAGACTCTCTCCTCATAAAGTGGAAGGACATAAGAAGGAATCCTTTAAGAACTGAGCACTTTCTGCGTTTTCTCCTGGTGCCAAACTATACAGAGGGGCCTCAGCAGACATGGGTCCTGAGAGGGCCCTGCAGTTGAAACACCTTTGTAGGCCCTGGGAGCCCACAGGTATTTTCCCTGATCTCTGTGAGAAGAGCCTGAGAAGAGGCAGCTGCTGACATAATCCAGGTGTGGTCATGAAGCAGGTGTGGAGCAGGAAGTCAGTGACCTCCTCCACACCCCCCAATATGGGGTTCCTTTGCTTTCTTCTTAAGCATATTCAAATCGTAAGCACGCTGCTGTCGCTAGACCTCTTGCATGTTTGCTTCAAGTCGTTGGAGGACGGTATTAAATCAAACCTGGGGAAAGTTTTTTTTTTTTCCCCAGAAAACATTTGTTTAGCCAAACAAAACCTCCTTCACTCTCAGTGTTCTGGGCCACCTGCCACTGAGACCTCTGGCACAAAAACTCCAGCCTTCCCAGCCATCCCTTGGACCTCTCTCCTGGGCCCCTGTGTGACCCGCGCCGCTATCTCGCTCATTGTCCAGCTGAGGCCTACTTAAGAGACTCCATGTGGAGTTCAAAGAGGACACACAGGTGCAGGGCCCAGACTCCCAAGGGGTCATTTTGAGTAAGTCTCGCCTTCTGCCGATGTGCACATGCGTGTGTGCATGAGAGTGTGTGTGTGCATGGCTGTAGCACATATCATAGACATTTTAGGAATGAGACAGGGGGATAAACTAGGTCTTATTTTCCCAATATCCATAAAGTCTTATTCTGACAGGCAGAAGCCTGAAAGGCAGCACACATTCTGCACAGCCCGGATATTTGTGGCTCATTAGAAGGTTGTCTGGTGACAAGGCAGGGGTGAAGGCAGGAATGGCAGTGTCTTACTGGTTCGAAGTGGCCAAATCCTGATAACAACAATCAAAAAGGGAGCAGGTCACTGAAATCCTCTTCGAATAACCCCCTTCATATCTGGGCCACTCCTAGGTTTGACCCAGAAACCAGCAACTTGAGCCTCTTACTGCAGCGTGGCATCGGGGAACGTACTCAGTTAGAACTGGACTCCAGCCCTGGCTTCAACACTTCCTGGGGCCTTGGGTGAGTTATTAAAACTCTGAACCTCGGTTTACTCACTTGAAAGACAGGATGAATTATACAGACCTTGCAGGATCTCTGCAAGATTAAACCACTGTGTGTGCCTCACATGTACAGACACTCCAGAAGTATCTGCTAGTATTCAGAGGGCTTTGGGGACTGACTATCCTGAGTGTGAATCCACTGCCACCAAGCAGAAGCTGGGTCATTGTGACCATGTGGGTTAACTTCTTGAAATCCAGTTACTCAAGTGTAAAATGAGGCTGATACCCTATCTGCAAGTCTGATGAGAAGATGAAAGGAAGTCGTGTACAATGCCCAGGTTGACCTGGCACTCACGTCTCCTTCCTCTTCAAATGTGTGCCACCAGTAAGTGGTAGAGCAGGTTCTACCGTCTTCTTTTTGGATCAAGGAGACCCAAGTCACACTACCTTCTCCTGCAAGTATTCAAGCTGCAGCAGGCCAACTACTATCTGGGTGATGGAAGGACCCCCTGTGTGACCAATTTAGCTTACCTGAGACTCTGGACTCTAGCTCAGGCGTTAAACCAAATGCCCAGGTCTGACTTGAGCTTGCAGATGTGTTTCTTCCGGGATAGAAAAGGGAGTTTATAGAAACTTTACCTTGAATTTAGGCAGGGCAAGCCTGGCCCAGTGAATGATCCCCACTACTTCCATGGCACCTCCATGGACCTGAGCTTCACGGGGTCACACCACCTGCCCGGCCCCTGAGCACTTGGGTCCAGGCATCCTGCTCTGAATCTGTGATGCCCTCAGACACCAGCTGAGCACCGGCTCCTGCAGCCTCGCCTGGAAACTTGATAGACATGCAGGTCCCTGGTCAGAATTCCAGAAGTGGCATCTGCATTTTAATAAGAATCCAGCTGGTTGGCTGACTGGTACACACACTGCAGTATAAGACAAGAGCAGGTATGGTGTGTGAATGTGTGTGGATAACACTCCTCAGAACACAGACCCTGTCCCCAAATTAGGTGCTTGATAAAAAAAAATTTAGAAGTATTGGTAGATTCATAGCATTTGCAACCATGTAATACACAGTTGGAATTTGAACCTAAAGATTTCGATGTAAGAAATAACTCTGAGAACAAGAACGTAGTAGCCACAGGCTATACCCTGTTTCCACGTGGGGTTGGAGCTGCCTTGGTGGCAAGATTGGACTCAGAGGCCCCCCAAGATGCAGGGCTGTACTACTCCCGGTGCTGATAAAGGAAAAAGAGGAATTCTAGAAGTACAGTTCTCTTCAGGCATTGGGTGATCAAACTGAAATCCCAGCTGTGGTTGATGATCACAGTGATGTCTCCAAACCATCAGAAAGACCAAGCTGTGTTCTTTGTCATCTGCACAAGATGGACGGAAGAGTAGTTGCACTGGGAAATACTTTTGCTTAGAACAATTCACTCTGCAGTGATACTCAGACAAAATGGTGCCACACATACTTTCTGCTGTTCTGACTGGTTTGACTTGATTTGGATGTTGGGTTGGGAGTTCAGGGAGGAATTTCATGCAAACCTATGACAGAGAGAATATCTGTTATTTGGGAAGAAGAGGTCACGAGAACAGGATCAAAGGTTCCCTGTGGTCACCTAGTTCCCAGGGCGCAAGCCTGCTCTGGATCTGCCTGGGATAATACTGAGATGCCACAGTCATTTTTTTCCCTATAATGCAGGAGGCCCAGGGTACAGGGAAGACTTTGGCACCATCTAAGAAGGGAGCTCCTTTTTTTTTCTTTTCTTTTCTAAAGATTTATTTTTATGCACACAAGAACAGGGGTACAGGCCAGAGGTGCAGGGGATGAGAGGATTTACCAGAGAC